TGACTAACAGCTAGATTTCTTCTGCCTGTTGAATCTTGTTGGTTTTCAGACTGCAGAACTGAGTAAGACTACACAAATGTTGTTATGAAGCTTGAACAATCCCAGGGACTTCCTTGGCTCCTCTAATTAAACATTTACAGCATGAGTCAGTGGGAGATCACCTATTTTATGTTGAAATACTTTAAGAGGGTACTATTTGACCAACCACCTGAAGCCATTTGAATATGTTTTTAATGTAAGGAAACAATGCATGGGAAGGAAGAAACTCAACCTGAATATCAGGATATGTTAAGCATCTGAGGGTGGAATTTATTTTGAAAACTAAACATGCTATTAATAAAATCAATTTTCTTCCACCACCTTCCTCACTTTACACACCCTGATATACCTGACTACCAATGACACAAGCCTTCTTCTTTTGGTGTTAGCTGAGATCAGGAAATAAAAGCTATTCCTGCTGTGATTTGATCAAGTCTGTTCAATGAATGCCATACCAAGAGAGGACGTAAGACTATACTAATCTTTTGGGGCACAAGTATTACCAAAATTAGCTGCCTTTTTACCAAGGTCTCTTTTAATCGTGTCTTTATTATTTTGTTGTTCTTTTGCCAGTCTGTTAGCCTTCCCAGAAGTAATTTAATTATAAGTCGCCTTGATCCAAAAAGTAACTCGTATGTTTTTAAGTAAAATAAAATAAAGTATGGGGGAGTTTGCAGGGAGTAGTTTGAAAACCTCTGTACAGAGTCATCAGCAAGCACAATTTGCAATGGGTAAAAAGGAGAAATGCATAAGACAATGCAAAAGCTCTTGCACTGGTTGTAGCTGGGACAGCCAATTCTGTTACATGGAAATAAATGTGGCCAGACCCAAGAAAAACAAATGTACCTTCTGCTTTGCGCACAGGGCAGAGGACTCTGACACGTGCAAACATTCATTCTCAGACCCTAGGAAATGGCTGTCTACTGAGTCAGACCATTCAGCTGTCATTAGACTTATGCTTGGTATATTGAATACACTGATTGGTGGCTAGAAAAGGACAAGTGTTTTGCTTCCCCTGTCCCATTTTCAGATTTTTAAAATCACAAGTTCTTTCCATTCCTTGCACTGGAGTCGAAAGGGGCCTCTGAATAAACAGAATATCAGGCTGCAACCTTAGCTGACACCTAAGGCTGGCATCCATGTGTTTAGCTATCAGCCTGGGTTAACCTTAAGCTGACCTTAGTGGCACACAGGGCAAAGTCGCTGTGCCAGTTACCCATTCCCCAAGGTCCTCCAGTCATTGCTGACCTTTACAGTCGGCTTGGTTCACTTGTATCTTTGTACTGTGAATACCCTGCTGAGGGAAGCTCTTGGGATTCTACAGCTGTAGTCTGTCGCATCTGTTCCACTGATATCCGTCCCTCGGATAAATAGTGCTTAGCTATATGCCACACAACTACCTTGATGTGGTTAAAAACGACCCACATCAGCCAAACAAGCCTACCTCCAAGAATAACTCTAGGAATGTGTCTGTCTCAGTTCTGGCCACACTGAATCAGTCACTCTTCGAGAAAAGTGAGACACGTCTTCCTGGCTGAAAATGTAGTGACAGCAAACCTGGAGTTGAAGGATAGTTTCATTCTCCTTTGAACAAAAGAAATCTTACCCCAGACTGACCCCAGACAGCCTGAATGCTGTCTACAGGAAAACAAAACATCCATTTAAAAAGAACAATAACCGCATACCTAAAAATCTCTGTCCATAGGCAAAGAAATACATTGTCTAAGAAGCATTAAAGCCACAACCAATTTCATCGTTAGAGTGCCTTACTGATAGGGAAACTTTAGGGTTCTGTCCTCCGTGACTAGTTAGACAGAGTGTTCTTTTCCTTTGCACACTTTTGGTAACAGGGAGCCCCTATTGCTGAAAGGGAGCAATGGGGGTGTGTCTTAATGTGGATGAAAAGAAGCATTCAAATCTTAGTGGAAATATTTCCCAGGTCTGTTGGCATAGCAAGAGAAAGGGTTAACCACTGATTAATGTGTGGCCCCCTCCCCACAACTTGTTTATTTATTCATTTGTGCTGAGAATCCAGTTGCTGTTACTCCTAAACCATTTCATTCACATTTTTCAGCCAAATATCTGCCCAATTTATTTATGTATACAGCAGGACCCCAATGCCCATGGGGGATAGGTTCAAAGCCTGAAACCATGGGTAGTAGCAAACGCTATACTGTACAAGCTTTAAATACCAATGATAAAGTTTAATGTATAAATTAGGCATAATAAGACATTAGCAACAATAACTAATAAATAGAACAATTATAATAATAAAAGTCATGTGAATGTGGTGTGTGTGTGACATATTTATTGTATTGTACTCACCTGCAACCAAGATGGCGACCAAGTGACTAATGGTGGGTAAGCATGCAGAGCGTGGATGGGCTGGACAGAGAGATGATTAGACTCTTGAGTGGGACCGCACAAGATCTCATCACTTTACTCAGAATGGTGCACAGTCTAAATTGCGAATGTTTACTGTATTTCTGGAATTTTCTGTATAATATTTTCCAGACTGCAGTCAACCGTGGTAACTCAAACAGTGGGTAGAGGGTTTTTGCTGTATTGGTGATATATAGTGATTTTTTGAGATTCCACTGCAGTCATAGGTGCAGTTGTTTAAGGTGTGAGCTGGTATTTCTAAGGTTTGAGGCATGGTTTATGATCAGCTTGGAGATAGAATATATTCTCATTTTCCATCACCCAGCTGTTCCATCTCTCTTACCTGCTGTGAAAGCCATCTGCTATGGTGTTCCAGGGGTCAAAATGGTAGCGTTTGTCATGTTTACCATATTTTGCTCTGCAGCTGTAGCTGGGCTGCAGAGAAGAAAGGGAAGCAGTTCTCAATTTCGCTTTCTAAATTCAAATATATAGGAAATGAGCCATTCTTCTCCTAGATTGCTTTTAAAGCAGAAAAAAGTGAAATTGATGAGTTTTCTTCCCCTTCTCCTGTCAGCCTTCAGTTCAAGTTTTATGCCAAAATTTGTGGACAGACACTTGTCAATGTCTACTTGCCCATTTCAATTGCCTTCTCCCTCTATTGAGTAGCTGCAGCAATGGCCCAGTTGATCTTATGAAGCAATGATCAGATTGCCCTGAGGTGAGAAACGTGAAATGGAGGGTGATGTTTTCCTTTCATGAAACTGCTACATTAATAGTGCTTTGATCATTATTTTTAAAGAAAAAGCATATCCAGTTAAGAGGTTTCGCTACATTAGGGATTTAACCCACTTTCTAATTTAGAAGGGAAAATATGTCCTTTATGTGGTTTTTTTCCCTTGGGTTTTGTCTTTCTCTGCCTTGCTAGATACTGTGTTAACCAGCATCACAGTGGTGCTATGGTATAACTGCAGTATAATGAATTTGTGACTTTCTCATGAGCCTTTTGTTCTAGTTTGTTGTGATTGGAATGTTAATAGATGGCTTTCCTCACTCTAAAGAGAGAGAAAAAGAACATTAAAATGTCTGGAAAACACAGGTCCTGGAGGACAACAACATTGTGAAAAGGTGCTGCAAATTTCTTTGCGTGATGGATCTTGGGCCCAAAATAAATGTCTGTGTAGAGAAACCCAAGTTCCCCTTCCAAGAATGGGGTGGCAGTAGTCTTGTTAACAGTGTGAGGTAGAGAAAATTTCCCTATTACATCAACCCCTTTTTTAAAAGTCCAAAAATAACCATCCAGAAAGCTCTGGCTATTTATTTATTTATTAAAACATTTTTATGCCGCCCCATTCGCCTAAGCCTCAGAGTGGCTTACAACAATAAATTAAATAATTGGGTGGCTTGGAAATGTAATAGATACCATAATATAGAAAATACATACATACATACATACATAAATACATACATACATAAGCTTTAACACCCCTGCCCCCGACATAGCCCATCATATAAAGGGCTAGAACCCTACAGCCATTCTACTTCCTAGGTCTCTCCAGGGATTCTGCTCACATCTCCACCTCCTTGAAGAACCTGTTTTCTGTGTCCACAGTGCTGAAGAAACATGACCCAACATGTGTGCATGCCCTCACACATCAGCATCAGATCCCTCACACATCAGCATCAGATCGTTCTTGCACAAAAAATTAAAGGCAACCTCGCACCTCTTTGTTTTAGTGCTTGTTGGTTCTTGGTTGAAAAGAAAAGTGGCCACCAAAATGTTTCAAATTCAAATACTTACTGCAGTGAGCTTCTTCTCCCTGCCTAAATATGACTTTAATATTTGACTAGATTAAATACTTAGCTTATTATTAACATATTTTGTCAGATTTTCTATTTATTGTGAATGCAATGACCACACGTTGAGTTTTGCATGCAGACAGTGTGTGGTCAGCAGGGAAGGGAGATTCTTTCAGAAGGTTGATACAGCCTTCCACTTTATGAGGGAGTATTTCCAGATCTCCAGGAAATTTCCCTGCTGCATGCATGCCTGCCCACCAAGATGCATGGAGAAGCTCAGTAATGTGTCAGGGATAGGTGAAGTCGGCCAACAGCCACATTTGATGCTTCATTGAAATAACCTCTCTGGCGGTTCTGAGGCAGCAGTTCTCACCAGGTGGGTGGTCTCTCTTAGAGGGTAGGTGGACCCTGCAGGATTGCTACACAGAACAGGGTCAAGTCATTTGTTCATGTGTTCCATAAAGAACAAAATGGCTAACTTGGGAATTGCCGAACGCCTGGCTTGGGTCCTATCCCAACTGTGATGTAATTCTCTCTGTCCTCTTGAGAACCTTGGTTTTTTCATTAGGGATCACTGAACTCTCTCTTTCTTGCTTGCTCTGTGTGTGTATTTGTGTGTGTATTTTTTTAAACTTGTCTACACATGATCACAGCTGTTCCTGTGACTTTCTTGATTTGCTACAGCCTAGAGTTAGCAAAAAACTGGGCCATGCTGACGCTGAGGAGGAAATGAAGAAATATGGGTGATGGTCTATTGTTCATATTAAATATTTCTTTTGCAGATGCAGCTTCTGGATAAATTCCCTATTGAAGGAGGCCAGAAAGATCCCAAGCAGCGAATCATCCCCTTTCTTCCAGGTAACAACCTCCTGATGAATTTGAACACTCTGACAGATAGATATTTTCAGGGCATTTGAAGGAAATTGCTTCCAAAGGGGTTGCATCCAGATCAATGTTTAGACAAAGTCTATAGCCCAGCTGTTCACAGAGTCTGTACAAAGAGAGGAGTATATAGCTAGATCTACTAACTGTTTATACTGGCTGGGTCTGGGTGTTGAATCATTATGGCAAAAGAACTTAACTTCCCAGTAGACTGAATGGGTCTGAAGCAATTAACTAGGAAAAAGCTGCTGAAGTTCAGTGATAAAAAATCATGCAAGAGAGGGTAAGAAGGTCCAGTATCATCAGGCATTTATATCAGTCCAATGTATTTTATATACTGCATATCAGATATTTCAGGCTACCATTTCCTAAATATTAGCATACTGGCTGGGGCTGATAAGAATTGTAGTCTAGAACATCTGCCCAAGTTGCCCACGTCCTGCTTGAAATGGATCAGTGAGCTAGGATCAGTGCAGGAAGGACAAGTAAAAGGCTCGATGATTTGGAAGGGCTAAAGCATCTGGAATATTTTAGTTGCTAAAAAAATACATGCTTAAGAGGGCAAGAGACATGATAGATGCTTATAAAATGGTGCATGGTCTGGAAAAGAGTGATAAAAGATTTATTGTACTCCCATATCAGTAGAACATGAGGTCCCCTGACTAAATTGATTGGAAATAGGTTGAATACACATAAAATAATGTCTTTCTTTGGAACTTGCTGCCACTGGCTTGGATGTTTTATAGAGAGATTGGGGAATTAATAGAGGACAGGTCTGTCAGCCATTATTAGCTACGATGGCTAAATGTACCATCCAGGTTCAGAAACTGGGAAGGGTAGGCATGACTGGGCATCTGCTGTGGGCCCACTGGCAAGGGTCCAGGAGACTGGAACACAGCCAGAGAATATCAGGTGTAATGCATCTCTGTTTTGAGCTGTACTGCTGTCCTGGTAGATAAACGCACCCACAAGATGCTAACATTCCACTTCTATGGCATGAGTTATGAGAAAAGTCGAATAACTATGTGCTAGAATAAGGCAACCTTCTGTTGTCTGACATTTACTGCAGGAGTTAGGCTAGGCTCGGCTAGGCCAGGCACCAACTAGACACCCACACCCCTGGAGAGCCTTCCAGAGTCGCTTTTCCTTCTCACTTTGATAGCCCAGGGTTTTTTTTGTTCTGGCACAGACAATGGTGACAGTGAGGCAGGGGAGCAAGAGATACCCCTGCTGCTTGTCCCCTGGCTCCCTTCCTGTGAAGCAAGCAAGCCTTTAGTACTGATGAGGATGCAGGGGAGGAGTGATAGCTGTTGCTGGGAATGACAGCAACAAAGTGGACTCTCTCAGGAAGAGGCCCTGTTGAGGGTGCCTTCTCCACAGCCTTTAAAAAATCTACTGGGGCACTGCTGGGGATGATGTGAATTGTAGGGGGTGACTGGTATCTTTATGCTTTCCAGAACCATCTTACCAGAAAATAGGATGCCAGGCCAAACAGACTTCTGGTTGCATCCATCAAGGTTCTTCATATGGCCATGGGTACAGAGCAAAATTAGCAAGCTAATAGTTTATTTTGCCTTAGAAATGGCAAAATTTTCATAGTTGCTGTCTTTGTGTTGATATATGGGAAACAGGAGTGGAAGTCACTGGCTCAAATATGTAGAAGTAGATGTTTTGATTGTTTCTAGAGGCTCTGACATTGGTGAGAGTGAAGGACTTGGGCAATGGAATTAATCCAGTACACATGCACACATTGGAATTCTAATCCTGATCTAATTCTAAGAATACTCCAAAATAATGTTGTTGCTGTTATATCCACACTTCAGCCACTTCTATGCCTTGATCCTCCCTGCTGGAGATATAATTTGGCAGCCCAGGGAGCATGATGTTAATGAACAGATTTAAACAAAATCAGTAAAGAATAATAAAATAATAACAGTAATAATTTGGATCAGTAGTAACTCGCAGCGATCTGGACAGTTTCCAAAGTAGTGATGTTCATTGACGTTTCCATCTCTGCCCGCTCCTGGAACTGTCAATTCTCTGGGTGCAGCCTGACTCTACACCATATAGGATGACTGTGTGAGTGCTAATGAGTGTGGGGCAATCAAGAAATTAGATGTGGACAATTACAGAGTAATTGGGCCTGAAACAATATCTGCACATTAAAACCGATACAGCAGTTAAAAGTTTAGTTTCCTTTTGTCCTGTCATTTTTATTGCTTGTGCATTGCTGGGACTTAGCACATCATACTGCTCTAATCATTTTGGTACAAGGAAAGATTATGTGCACATGAACATTTCAGGGAGCCAGGCCAAAAAACAAAACTTTTTTTTTTTTTAAAGCAGCCCTTCAACTCCGACATGATTTCTTCAGCAAAGGGGTATATAAATATTACTAAGATTTGCGTCATGGAGAGTATTTCCATCTGCCTCCACACAAGTGCTCCCAGCTGAACTCACAGAAGAGTCAGTTTGAAGACATTGGCAACTCCAGCTCACAGCTAATGATGGGTGCACATGATCAAGACCATCTTTCTCTTGTTTTATTAGGTGCTAGATGCCTGATGGCAGCTGGCGTGTAGGTTGACTAGCTTTCTGAGTAACTGTGAGTTTGAAGCCCATTAAAAGATTAATATTCGCTTTAAGCTGTAGGAAAAGAAGAATAGGCATTTTCTCCAAGGATGGCTCATGAGAGCAAACATAAATTGCAGTGTATGTAGGAAAGGGGGCAGATAAGATGAATGCAAAAAAACAAAAAACAAAAAAATCTTGCTTCTGATCGCTGGAGCCTTTAAGGAAAATTGGTGCTGCAACCACACTTGGAATTCTGTGTACAGTTCCGGTCACTGCACCTCAGGAAGGATACTGTAGAACTGGAAAAGATGCAGAAATGTGTGACCAAAATCATCCAGGGCCTGGATCCATCCCCCAGTGAGAAAACATTACAAAATTTGGTACTGCTTCACTTAGAAAACAGATCTGTACATGACATCTGTGTATGAAATTATGCACAGTGTGGAAAAAGAGATTCATAGATTCATTAGAATAATAGGGTTGGAAGGGACCAAGAAGGCCATTGGGTCCAACCTCCTGCTAGTGCAGGATGCCAGGTCACACCATCCCACTCAGATAACTGTCCAGTTTTGCCTTGAATGTGTCTAAGTGTGGGAGAGCCTACAACTTCTCTGAGCAACTGGTTCCACTGTCGTATTGCTCTGACAGTTAGGAAGTTTTTCCTGGTATCTAGCCCAAATCTGGTGGACTGCAGTTTAAGTTTGTTGTTCTGCGTCCTATGCTCAAGATGTCTTTCTCTTTCTCTAAAACTCTTAATACCCAATTAATCTGATTGTCTGGAGATTCGGAATAGATTAAAGGATTTACCCCTTCACCCAGCACCAAATTTGAGCATGGAATTAGAATGATGGTCACCAACCTGTCCAATCTTAAAAGGGTGGACAGATTAATTAAGGATAAGGCTACCAGTGGCTATATATCTCCAGTATCAGAGGGAGTGTGCCAATTGTGGGAGAACATGAACAACAGGGTGTGACTACACTTATATCCTGCTTGCGGGCTTGATATTGGGCAACTGGTTGGCTCTTGTGGGAAGAGAATGCTGGACTACAAAGTCTGATCCACCATGGCTCTTAACCTCTTACATTAAAAGCATCTTCTGCACCCAGGCAGCAAAGAACAGTGAGGTAGATATCGGAAGAGCAGTGCAGCACACATACACAGTGCTAGCAGTTTGCATGCAGAACCTGACTTTTGCAAATGTTATTTGCAGCGTGATATGTTTTGCATGACTATAGCTTCATGTTGTTGGGACAAGGGGGAAAGGAGATATCTCCATTCGATGGCTATGAAACCTTTTCTGTTCATGGAAAGTTAGGGTCCAAGATGATTTCTTTTAACAGCTGCTGAACAGGCAGAAATCCAACTGAGGCATCTGCTGATGAGAAACCTGTGCTTGTTGAACTGAGGCACCTCACAGGGTCTTCACATACATCTTTGTGCAGAAGCCCCTATTTGGAATAAAGGTTAACATATTTGGAGCTGATATACTTGCATTTTTGCCATATCCCTGGAGGCTGTGGAATATACATTTATGGCTACTGTTACTTAATGCAAACATGACAGATGTACATTGCATCAGCTGGATGGATGAAGAATCTGGATTAGGAATTGAGACACCATAAAAGCGTCCTTTAAAAAAACCCAGCATTACTGCTGATGCTGGTTAAAGGACTTTTGGGAGCAAGTTTAAGCTATGCACTAAATTAAAGCATTAAAATCAGCTAATTATCAGAATGACATAACCAGGAGAAAAGTGCTCAGAAGTTCATTATTGCTGCAGTAGCCATGCACCGGCCTTTCCTATCCTAGTACTCTATGACTATCTGGGAAACTTTGAAAGTGGTAAGGGCACTAAGCTGGGGGAAACTGCTATGCACTATGGGTTGCATCCAGCGTTAGACTTAATTAAATTCTCCCATTAAAATGAATGGACTTAGGACAGACTAACATCTGATATATCTCCAGGTTGTCTTTTCTCTTACATTACAGACTGTGAGTGCTGGGGTCATGACTAACTTGAAAAAATTGGCAAAGTGAGGTATTTTTCATGGTATTCTTGTTTAGTTTTAAAGGCCAATCTGCTCTCCTTTCCCAGTGATTCCTCTCCCCTCCCCGAGTCTACTAAAAGTCAGACATCAGCACACACTATCAAATTAAGTCACTCCTTTAATTAGAAAACACACCATTTTTCTATAAGCAATGGCTGAAAAGAAATCCTGGTTCTAGGGAAGGTGTCTGACTCCTGCAAAGATGGAGACTGTGGGCAGCTCCATGCTTAACCTTTGTCCAAACTCTTGAGAGATTTGCTGGGTACCTTCACAGCTTGAATAATTGCTGTGAGTGCAATGCTGTTTTGCTGGAGTTTCCTGCAGGAACCATAAAGTATAGGTAACACACAC